GGGGCCGAGTTCTGGCGCACTATGTATGTGCATATCATATAGAAAGTGACTCTTTCAACTTTTAAAATCGCGATATCTCAGCAATGGTGATTCTTAGAAAAAAAAAGTATTAGGACCTTTTTTGTAGATAATTTTAAGGTCTATCTTTTTTGTCTGGACTACTTTTTTGATAAAACTTACCGTTTTCAAAATAAATTCAAAAAACATCAAATTTTGACCTTTGACCCCGAAGAACTTTTTTAGCACACATGGGATCGATGGGGACTTTTGACACTTTATTTCTAATGGTGTACCCAAGGTGTCCACCAAAATTTAGCTCTGTCGGAATTTTTGTTATTTGACCACTATTTTTATGACTAATTTGACCGGACTATGTAACTTATTTTTGAGACAAGATGTATAGTTGAAAATAATTGTAGGCGATGGACTAGATTTGTATTTATCAATGTCCTATAGAATTTTTTTTTAATTTTACCATTTAAAGGTCACTAATGGACTTTTTCGACTCGCTGGGACAGCCTGTATGTGACATTCTCTCATGAAGCTGAATTACCAAAGTTTTTAAACAAAAAAACACTATTTTATATTTTTCAGATAATCTGTCATGTATGATGTAATGAACATCTATGTAATTAACGGGAAAACCCTCAAAATCAACGGCCATTTCCTGTCCACCCTATCCCAAAAATTAGGACTAATGGTTTTTTTTACACAAAATCAAAAATGAAACTGTTTAATATTTAATTTTCTATTCCATGAGGTGTATTGTTCGTAAACAAATGCCTCACGTTCACCAATTAAAAATAAACATTTATTTATTACAAAAACCGAAAAAATTTATTTTCAAAATCATTGTTACAATTAATATTTTGGGAATCCTGTAAGGACCTTCCCAACCTTGTCCCTCAACTTGTCCGCTTCGTAACTCCTCACTGAAGCCAACAACTTGGATACATGTCTCAAATACTGTTTTTCATCCATTTGTCTCAAAGCTCGATAATGGCAATTAAGATCGTTCAATCTCAGTTTTCTCCTAGCCTCATTTATAATCCGACTTCGATCAACGGGCCATTGTTTGCTGTAAATCCCGTACTTATGCTGAGGCATTCTAGTCTCATCCCCATAGTGCCTGATCCTATATTCACTCCCTGACCTCCAAAGCCAACCCTCGTTGTCCTCCAAGAAAGCCTGTTGGGCCCCCGTCACCGACCCAGGCCGACAAATTCTCAACCAAGCCACTGCCTCTTTAGCCGTCATTGAATAATGTTTCACAAGATACGCCCCGATCAAAGTCCCGGTTCTTCCAAGTCCAGCCTTTAAAGGAGAGATCAACTTTCAAAATACATTTTTTTTATGAGTCGTAACCAAAATTCTAAATTCTGCGAGTACAGTGACGAAAGAATTTTTTTCTATATCTTAAAAATTGAGTAAAATATAATTTTTTTCATAATTTTGTGCATGAAGTGATGACGTCTCTTCAGCCCAACTCAACGTCGGGCGGGCAGCACCAAATGATATACAGCGTGTTCCGTCTAAACCCCACATTAGAAGTATTGGGAGTTGGAATAATTGTATTTATTTGAAAATTGGTACATAGCCATAATGCATTAAGTCCTCCTAAATGAAAATATTTTCAAGATGGCGGCACTTCCGGTTATACCGGAAGTCGGTCTCAACTTTCTTATTTTAAATGGAAAGGTATATTTTTTACTGCGTTTTTGGATTAATCGGTTTATTTTAAGGGAGTTCTCATCAGCTTTCCCTATACTTAAATTTAGCCGTTTTTGAAATATTTGGAGTTTTTCAACAATTTTTGGATCTGCACCTTCCACTTTAAAAATCGGTAACTCTGCTATTTTTTAAAATTTTGAATTCGTTTTTTTGGCGTTTGAAAGAGAAAGTTTCGATCTTTCATCCGGTGTTTTCAAATTTTGAAAAAAAATTAACAAATCCTAGAATTTTAAGGTTACTTTTGTAGTAAGTCAAATACCCATAACTCAATTTTTCCAAAAGAAATACTCCAATTTTTATTTTACTAAATGGAAGAGAATTTAATTCTGCATCGATCTATCGATTCCCTATACCAAAATTTAATAATCTTTAAGTTATGGTGACTTCTTGTTAAGACTGTCGAAAATCTATTACGTTTTCGATAGTGTGCTATAGAAATAAAAAATGTCAAAATTGTTTCTCAATAAACGTCGACAGTGACTTATTATTTGACAAATAGTGCCAAAATATGGAGAGTCAAAGCTACTCAAACTTAGATTTAATAAATTTATTTTGTATTTATGGAGAGTGTAACAAAATTATGATGTCGTTCATTAAACAAAAATAATTTTTTCTCATTTGTTAGCTGTAAATAATAATCGCATGGTAGAACATATCAGTAATAATTAAGTTTGCTTAACTTTGATTCTCCATACTTTGGCACTAATTGTAAAATAATAAGCCACTGTCGACGTTTATTGAGAAACAATTCTGACATTTTTAATTTCCATAGCAAATTATGTGAAAACGGGTGTGGCTAGTAATAAATTTTCTGTAGTCTTAAAAAAAAGTCCATAACTTGAAAATTATTAAATTTAGGTATAGGGAATATTAATACAGGTCAATGCACAATTAAATTCTCTTCTATTTTGTAAAATAAAAATTGGGGTATTTCATTTAAAAAAATTGAGTTATGAGTATTTGAATTATTAGTAGTAACCCTAAAATTTTGGAATATGTTATTTTTTCAAAATTTGAAAACACCAGAAAAAGGATCTAAGCTTTCTCTTTCAAACGCCAAAAAAACGAATTCGAAATCTTAAAAAATGACAGAGTTAACGATTTTTAAAATGGAAGGTGCAGATTCAACAATTTTTGAAAAACTCCAAATATTTCAAAAACGGCTAAATTTAGGTATAGGAAAAGTTAATGAAAACTCCTTTAAAATAACCCGATTAATCCAAAAACGTAGTAAAAAATATACCTTTTCATTAAAAATAAGAAAGTTGAGACTGACTTCCGGTATAACCGGAAGTGTCGCCACTTTGAAAATATTTTCATTTGGGAGGATTTAATGGTTTATGGCTATGTACCAATTTTCAAATAAATACGATTATTCCAACTCCCAATACTTCTAATGTGGGGTTTTGACGGAACAGCCTGTATATATCCGTTGCAACCGATATTGTAACTAGTTGAGATCTGTTACAAAAAGTTGCAATTTCTTTGGACAATAAATAACAAATGTGACGGTTTATTAGAAATAAATAAGTACACTGGCCGCCAAAATTAACCGGAGAACCAGAATTTTGCTATTATTCAACAAAGACAAAATTAAGTTTTTATTTATTTCAGATTATTGCCCGTTCTTTTCTGAATGAGGACAAATTTGTTTCAAAATTTTATCTTCTAGTGCCCCAGAGATACAAAGCATTGAAAAAGACTTTGCTTTTCTAATGTTACTAAATATTCGCTCAGAAAGTAGGCTACATAAAACCGAAAATTATTGCTTATGTCACCAAAAGAGCCAATTACGTCTTTGAACACAAAAAATCTGAAAAACCTAAGACTTCAAAGTATTACATCAAGTAAAACGGTTAATTATTAGAAGCTTCCATGCGCCTATTTTAACGTTTTGGCAAATTCGGCCTACTTAATACGAACATACCCACATAAAACAGGGAATAGTTATATTGTGCAGAGTAGTCGCCATCATTGATCATATTTTATGCGTTACTTATGTTAGGGGAAGGAGGGGTAAAACGGAGTAGCGAGGTAAGATGGGGACTCACTATATCTCAAAAACAAAAACAGTTTTGATAAAACTTTTAAGGTCATTTTGTAGATGTATCTCAAAACTTTTCACTGCGGCAAAAGCGAGAACCTGAGCATAACACGTAACGGGGCTGTGAGTAAAAAAATATTTTTTTAATTATTTGATGTTATTTTTCTATTGTGTTTCGAACGTGACAGTCAGAAATACATAGGTTGTCATGTAAACAACATCGTTTCATTGCAATCCCTGTACTTTAAACTTGATTTTAGACTAGTTATTTACACGATTACTTGTCCATTTATAAAATGATTTTTTTTTACCTACAAAATGCAAAATGCAAAATGGGGTACGGGGCATATCAATTGGCAGTTGTCAATAATAAGCAACATAAGTTCAGTGAAGTCAAGGCAAAAGCTGGTAAACATTAGGTTAAGGGATTTCTTAAGCTTCATCCAGAAATAAGTCTTCGAAAATCAGAAAATACTTCTGCTGCTGGACTTGCGGGATTTAATAGAGTGTCGGTGGGAAAGTTTTTTGAACTGTTAGGAAAAACTCTGGATGAATATTAATTTACTCCGGATAAAATTTATTATTGTGATGAAACTGGATTATTTGGATGGATGGATCACATGTCAGCTATGTGGGAAATGGGTACATTGCGGCTGCGCTGGCGTCGATGACAACGATGAAGACGCAGTCTTTAAAACTGTAGTACCCCATCTTGCCCAATGGGGGACCCCATTTTACCCCAAGGGTGGGGCAAGATAGGGTAAAAGTATTTTTGTTTCTTTTTATCGTTATTTAAAAAAAATAATAATTTTTGTTATTTTTTTTATTATAGTCTTAATAGAGAGAACACTGATTAAGTTGATAAATAGAATTTCGAACTTCTGTGATGTATATTTAGTTTTTTATTCGACTTCAAACGTTAAGGTCTTGCCCCTACTTCCCCTATATGTTAATAATGTCTTCTCTTACATTCTTTTACATTGTCTGATTGTGAACAAACCATCGTATTGAAAGTTCCTCGTTAGGAGTATGAAAAATTGTAGTCCGTTCACAACAGACTTCACAACCGCCAACTATGACGCCAAATTTAAATAAACGCCCGTTAGTTTCGTTTCTGTACACTCATTTATTAAAGAAATGCATGAATAAATTCATTTTTATACAGGGTTATTCATAAATATGAAGCAATATTTGAACCTCAAAAATGACCTATAAAATGATGTTAATTTAAATAATAACTAGTGTCCTATCTCTACTGATAAGAATTTTACAGCCCTCGGAATGTGGGTATGGAAATTTGATTTTTTTGTAATAACTTTGGAACTATTTCACCAAATATTATAAAATTTGGAACATTTTCTTGTGACAACATACCTTTTGAACTGGTAATCACGAAAACCGGATACATCTACTCAATTTCCGACTCCAGCAGTTGCAGGTCACATTTTCTGTGTTTTTCCATTTTTTTTGCTCTCTTAACACCAATTTTTTATTGCCTAAATCGATAGAGTAATCAATTTCGAATAAAAAACGCATAACCTTCAATACCCTTAAAATGGACCATTTCAAAGATATTTTAATTTAAACTGAGAACTGCACAACGCTGAAATCAAAAAGTATGTGTTAACTTTGACGATAAATTTTTGTGAATTATTTATAAATTAAATGCTACGAGATCGATTTGGATTTATTGTAGATTACGTTTGAAGTCTGAAGTAAACTATTTTATTAAATATTTTCAATTAATCGTCCAAGAATGGTCCAATATCAAAGTTGACAGATGCCTGACAGCGATTAGTGGGACCATGGTCATTTGTTGCCGTGGATATCATTTATTCAAAATCCCTATTTTTTGATTTCAGCGTTGTGCAGTCCTCAGTTTAAATTAAAATATCTTTGAAACGGTCCATTTTAAGGGTATTAAAGGTTATGCGTTTTTTATTCGAAATTGATTACTCTATCTATTAGGGCAATAAAAAATTGGTGTTAAGAGAGCAAAAAAATGGAAAAACACAGAAAATGTGACCTGCAACTGCTGGAATCGGAAATTGAGTAGATGTATCCGGTTTTCGTGATTACCAGTTCAAAAGGTATGTTGTCACAAGAAAATGTTCCAAATTTTATAATATTTGGTGAAATAGTTCGAAAGTTATTACAAAAAAATCAAATTTCCATACCCACATTCCGAGGGCTGTAAAATTCTTATCAGTGGAGATAGGACACGAGTTATTATTTAAATTAACATCATTTTATAGGTCATTTTTGAGGTTCAAATATTGCTTCATATTTATGAATAACCCTGTATATAAATGTTATTTATTTCGGAAAAATGTTATTTTTAAATATTATATTGAAGTCAGGTAAGTAACATACAAAATTTTATTTGATTAATTATTTTTATTGAAACGTATGAATTTAACGCCGTGGTCATCTTGTGATGGTTTAGGTCTACCTATCAAAAATATTCTGGGGATATCTAAACATTTCTTCACATGTAGACAATTCTATTTCATTGTTGGCGTATTGCATTATTTTATTTGTTTATTTGCTATTTGAATTGTATACGTCTTTTTTTAACCACTGTTTTGTCGATTTTGAGAAATTGTAGTACGAATGCTTCAACAATTTTTGCTATTTGCATTGTCCTGATCAATATAACATTGAATGATATGAGAAATGTAGCCTTTTTGGAGCATACTTCAAACGACTATCGTGATAACTTTCTAAACAGCCAGTATGACAATAATTTTTTATGCGGCCTAAATCATTTAAAAATTGTTTATCCCAAACCACTGACACAATAAAACTTTGTTAACGAAGTAAATCATTGTATTCTTTCCAAATCATTCATCTATTAAGGGAAATTATCGAAAAAAAAGTCGTAGGCCAATCGCGATCGCGCAGTAAAGGATAGAGTTGGGCTGGAGTGACGTCACAGCAGTTTCACAAAATATTTAATTTCGAAGCTCCCAACCTAAATATTTCGAATTTCATTTCATAAATGTTCATGTTTTATTACATTGCGTTTATTAGATAAATAAAAAAAAATGCATTTTGAAAGTTGATCTCTCCTTTAATAAGAGTCACACTATTTTTTATTACACCAGATTTTACTCACCTTGCAGTGCACAGCAATTGCCGCTGGGGCGGTTTCAGTAATACGTAAAAAACTGAGCAAAATGTCCATCGAAGGGACTGAACCATCATCAAAAAATAAGTCGTGATGCTCAATTCCAATCCGAGTAAAACTACAGAAAAATTTATTATTTCGGGAACAAAACCCGAGAGATTTGTTTACACCGAGGAGTCGTAAAGTTTGTCATTGAGACGAATTACAGTCTTGATGTCGTGTTGAAGGAAATATTCCAAATAGAAGCCAGGAGTGTGTCCAACTCCGACTCTAGGTTCAGTGGGTCCCAAAAATGCGAGAAATTTTCGAGGAATGATCCAATTCATGTTCCCTTTTTCCACTTGGTCACACACGTCATACTCTTGAACATTAAAATCGGTAAAATCGAACAAATTATATTGTAACGCTTTTGCAACTCCTGAAAAACAGTCAAAAAGTCTGATTGTGTGAACTGAAGTGCGCTGAAGGGCGTCGACAAATTGCCTAGAATTTTGGGGTCAGTGCGATGCATTGAATAAATAAGACAGTTACTTGTATGGTTCTGTGATAAGTAGAATTTTGTAGACTTCAAACGGTTCCATTTTCATGCAAACGACGGCAAAACAGCCGACCAAATACGCCGCATTGGCTTTCTTATTGGGATCATGGCTCGTGTAATGTACAATTTTTTTCCTTCCTCTGAAATTCTGCAACATCTTGGTGACCTTACACGAATACTTATACAGACACGAGATATTCAACGGCCCAAAGTCGTGGAAAAAATTCCGGTATCTGAGCTCTTCATCGAAACAAATATACTGGTAGTTTCTTGAATTTTTCAAACGTTTATAAACGGAGAATTTTGAGACGGCGAAATAAAAACGATTCTTGAGAATTTCTACGGTCTTGTCGATGTATTCGTGTGATTCCATTTTGACTCTTCAAGGAAACAAATAGCAATATTTTGAATCACTGCACAATGCCGCAAAAAATAGGAATTGGAGCGTGTAATTTATAAGTAGTGCCAAAGAAAAACCAATTATTTGATGAGTGATTTGCTTCATTTTATAAATTTTGCATTTTTTGACTGAAGACAGAAGCACACTCAAATATCTTTCAAACCGGAAATTTGAAGCAGTAGCGGAGCAACGCACTCTACAAGCGCCTTTTCCAAAAATATTTTCATTTAAAATAGAAATTTTTTTATTTCAACCCTAACTCCTAAATTAGGGTGTGAATACTATTTACATAAGTAAATAGTAATAATAATCATATTTATTATTAACTTTTCCAAAGTTAACAATAACTAACCAATAATTCTATAGAAACCAGTACACTACTCAAAGGTAGAATTTTTACGAGTACTATCAACTAATACATAGTTTTTGAAATAAAATAAGTCACAATTCGTATCATTGCATAACTTGCTTGCTCTCAAATCAAGTGGGAATTTTTTTATTTGAATTTTATTTAAATATCCATAATATTTTAAAAACGTCTAGGGGAAAGATGTATTGTGATGGTACGAATACAACGCAAGTAAAAAAATTAAAAATATATTTAAATATTATTAGTTTTTAACAAAACGCCAATATTCATTTTACTTTGACAAAATTTGCCGCTCGAATATCCTCATTCTTAAAGTGGGGGTATACCTAAAAACAGCTGAAAGCTGGAAGCGGTAGAAAATGCAAGTTTTGTTTATACTATAAGTATGAACCTAGGTGCCTAGGTCGCAATATTACTATATTAAAAATTTGACAGAAAAAAAAATCAGTCATCTTCAAAAACACGTAAAAAAAGATTTACAAAATTGGAATTAAATGTAATAAATAAAACTGATAATTTTTTAAAAGAATCTTTTAAAAGACAAAACGATAAATTTGAAATTAATAATATGTGAATCTTTAGTTTTACGTAGCTCTTATATTTTTTTTACAAGAATTCCTAATATTCAACGAGTCCGGTTTAAGTTTTATTGAATGTCGGGTGTCTATTGTGTGGCACCCCGGGGCACTAAAGTAAAAATATCCCAGGCAAAACATTGACCATAAGTACCGTTTTTTCTGCACGTTTTTCCAGTTTGTATTAGTATCCCGGCAATAAGTATAAAATATGTCTTAAACAAATTACATTCTTTGGAACAAATTTTTGTATACAGTCATCATAGATTCGCTCAACAACCAATAAAATTTAGATAAATATTATAGAACTTTTTTGTGACACTTAATTACTCTTTCCATTATACCGTACTGTCACCATATACAAAAATAAATAGTTCTTATACACGCGTAACTAAAAAATCCGAGTAAAAATCTCAATATTTGGGTATATTGTTAAGACGAATGTCATCAAAGACAAAAAACATATCTTATTTATTATCTTATTAATTTAAATTATTTTTACGATGAAAATTCATTTTAATGTCTATTCATTAGGAAAATCAATGTTTGGTGACTATTATTTTTTTTTTATATATTTTCAAATACTGTACTAAACTTAATGCTATAATTTAAATTCAATACAGTTTTGCTTCAAAAGCATTCCTTTATTTTAGGCGTTCTCTAACATTATTATCTTATGAAATTACTCCCCTGTGTTAAAGTGAGAGAATGCACGTCAACGCGCCTTATTTACAAGTATAAAATTAAATACTCCTAAACAATTCTGTCCCAGATGGTGCTAGCACATGACTGTTGTGATGGCTATTTTTTCAAGTCGGCATTGGCTTACCTTTATTTCCACATTTGTGCGACCCTATTAGACAGTTGCTGAATGAACAAATCGTCAAAAAGTACATAAAATGTGTCCGAGCTAAGGGGTATGAGTCTAAACTAAGATTGGATGACACTAAAATCGTCCGAAATGACACGCCTTCAGAAAATTCGATAAGAAATCAAAATTCATGGTGAGAAACTTCATTTTTTTTTGAGTAATTCTTTAATCTTTGGACACCGGAATGACATAAATTTAAAGTTGATCTTACACATAAATCAAATAGAAAAAAATTCTAAAGATGATCGCTTCAAATACTGTATTTTTAAGGTGTTTTTCGACTCGATTAATTTTGCATTTGTAAAACCTAATTTGTATTGAAAAATATGTCATTCCGCGAAGAAAAGTATTAGCTTTCAAATGCCGTCTTCCAAAATTCATTTGGTTTTGTCAAACTCTAGTCTTATCGAATTAATTGAACGCTTGCATTTGCCGTATGCTTTACTATATACGACAACCTTAAGGTGCCATTATTTTTATTTCGATAGATCATAATATACATATTATATTAAAAAATACAATACAATTAACAATTAATCAATATGGTCGCGTTCAAAGCTCCAGCCCCTCATACGAAACTCCATCGGCATCTGGCGTCTCAAGCCTCGCCCTCAAATGCTCCAGAGTATTGTTAAAATGTTTGGTAATCTGATCAGTTTCATCCGAACTCTCTAAATTCGGCAACTCTTCCTTAACCTTCCCAATAACCTGGTTCAAAATCTGCACACTCACTTGATCATTCCCTTTCTCAAAGAAATAAATATAATGATTCAACAACTCAACAAACAACTGAACTTGCACGCTCACATCCATGCACTGCTTCGCTATTCTTAAACCCTTTTTAAGACACTCCACCACTCTTTTCCCATCATGAATCTCCTCCCTGTTACTCGCCAAACTCTTCCCGCTCCAAAACAAATGTGAACAGGTGGCGACACCTCTACATTGATCAGGTTTCTTCAACAATTTACTCGCCGCCAAAGCACACTGTGTTTGCAAAGGATCCGAATTCTCTTCAGAGAAACAACTTATCTGTTCCAAAGTCCCTACAATTAGGGTTATGGCAGCTAATTGAGCTTTCGAGTCGGAAATTTCATCTTCATAAAGCGCAAACGCCTGAGACATAAATTCGTAAGCGACAGTCTCGTGGTTTTCGAACCCGATTTGGTCAATCGCAAGCGCCCCCTGGAGGAATAATCGCAACGGCAGTTCTGCCAACTCGGCCTTAACTAAAGTCGTAATGGCGGAATGGCAAAACTGGAAAATTTTCTGACACTTCTTTTCCCATTTTTCGTCTTTGATTTCCTTGTATTTGTAGGCGAGGAGATAGGCCTGGAAAAGAATTGGAGGAAAAGTGTATTTGATACGTTGAGGGCCACCGCCGCCCAAGATCTGTAATAATTCGAGTGTTAAACCAGAAATTCGGTGATTGGTGGATTCAAACCTTGCGAGATGCCGTGAGGATCAGGTATTGGTCGTCAGCGACGTCTGATTTTAATTGGTGGATAAATCTAGCCAAAAGACACTGCTCCTCAGCCAACTCTTCTAAATCGACCTCGCCAAGTGGTTGTTCCTCCTTATCATTAACTAAAGGAGTTAACAAATTCAAAGCTTGCTCAGTCTCTTCCTGTGTTGGTACAATCGTGTCGTTATCAAGAGCATTATTCAAGATATAAATACTCAAAGATTTCCGTCCTGCGTAATCTAAATGTTGCATCAAACCGGCATAATGTTTCAATTTTAAAATAGTCAATAAATTGTTATAATTATCCAATGGTATTTTCAACAATTTTTGCAACTCTTTGGCTACCAATGAGTTCGATTCGAGATGTTCAAGCCCTAGACGTTGAAAAACCTCAACACTAGTCAACATAACCTTATCAATATAATCAATACGATCAGGGTAACACTTTAAGGCCAAATTAACCAAAGCTACTTGAAGCGCAATCATGTCTTCCGGTGGCAAATATTGCCGATTGGCTATTATCGAAGCTACTTGATCCGAAAAAACCTCAAAAAGTTGGACTTGTTGCAGAATTGTAACCCCCTCACTGCCCAAAGCGTCCGACCGTTGACTGAACGAAGCCAAACGTTCCATCAGACTTATGACTATATTTTTCACATTGACGCCAGATTCTAACTCGGCACACGATTTCAAGAATGGATTGAGAGTCTTGATATGAAACTCGTCGGGAAACACCTGGATTATGCACTCCATCAAGTACTCCTGTGCGATGGCGTCCCGGCAGCTCACAACCTTAGAAAAAAATAATAATAATTTTTTTCCTCTTTTATATGATGTATTAATACGAGATTTAAAAAAGTTTAAATAGAGGTTTCAAATGTAAGTAATACGAAATAAATTTTCACTTCTAAAAACCATTATCCCGAAAAGTTATTTTTATTTATGAAAAAGAAACAAACCATTAAAAAAACTACGATGGTTTAATTTCGTTAGCAAATAAAAAAATAATTGCTTGAAGGTGTACGTTTGTATTGTACCGTGCGATCAAATAAAAAATAAATTAGAGTAGGCGTCGATTAAATTCTACAGTTGGCAACACATTGGATGGGAATCTGGACTGGAAATTTTCCACACAAACTGAAAGTGAAAATGACCATCCACCGTTTTCCTCTTGTACAGCAATAAAAATTTTTTGCTCTAAAGTGAACATTATTTCACTCAAAAGGAATAAAACGCAAACCTGTCAAAGTTTCCGCTGACATTTGACGTCAAAAATCAAGATTGCCATCTGAAGGACTTCAATCACCGCCTACTCTAATTTATTTTTTTTTTGATCGCACGGTATAAAAACATGTCTACAACAAAATAACCATACATTTTTTTGTTTTAAAATTGCTGGTAGATGACGCTTTTATCATCCAAGTCATGAGTGTCATGACCAACGTGGTTATTAAATTACAAAACTTCAACAAAAAACAAAAAAAAATCATGTAAAAATCATTCAAAATTTGTCTATAATAACATTATTTTTTCCCAATTTCTCTTAATTGCAACTTTGAATTTCAATTCTAAAGCTAAAAAGTTTGTATTGAACTCGGCATTTCTAAATAGCATGGTTTTGGCATCAAAACTCAGAATTTTGATCTTAGATTTATAAAATCTGCTGTCATCAAAATTTTAGTTTATAAACGTTTTTATCTATTTGAGAAGTTACAATTTCTAGAAATTGATCGCAAAAAATTATTTTTGTTAGCTAATTTAGATATTCAGAAACGACAACGTAGGGAAAACGCAAAACTGAAAATTTTTCTTTTCTAGATCTTGAATTTTCTGCTGAAAATCTTTTAGTGTATCTTAAAGTAGATTATTTTTATAATTTGGAATTATGTTTTCAAAATTTCTGTCCTTAACCTCGAAATTTCCTTTTTAAAGCTTAAATTTTCCAAATTTGTTTTTTTGTCTTTCATAACGTAATTTTTTACGTCAGAGACGACTAAATCATAGATTGTTTTCAATTATTCAAGAAAATTAATAATTTTTTTGTCGATGATTTTAATGAAGAAAAGAATGAATTTTAAATTTTGCTAGAAAATTGAAAAAAAGTAGTGTAAAATGTGTTTCTTTCATGTCATCATAAATTTTGCTCAAAGCCACAAAATTTTTCCAAAAATTTATTAATACTTTAAACTGTATTATTTGAGAAGAAACACAGTTGGGCAAATATACAAGGTGAATATAAAAACTACTTGCCTCCAGAAAATAATAATTAATATAAATTAGAGTAATATAAAACATTTGATGGTATTTTGAGAACAAAATTTTAGTTTGTTTTGCGACTATGCGATTTTTTTGTCAAAATTGCAATTTATGTAAACATTTATTAAAGAAATGATTAAATATAAGTAGATAGTTGTAGTCCTTAACAATTTCTCTTAGTTGCATCTTTGAATTCCAGTTCTAAAGCTAAGAATTTTGTATTGAACTCGGCATTTCTAAATATTAGCATGGTTTAGGCATCAAAACTTAGAATTTTGATCTTAAATTCATTAAAATCTACTCTCCTTAATAAAAATTTCAATTTATAAGCGTTGTTATCTATTCTTTAAATACTAAAAACACATTGAAACTTTCGAGAAGTTTAATTTCTAGAAACTGATCGCAAAAAATTATTTTTGTAAGCTATTATAGATATTCAAAAAAGAGATTCACAGCTTCAGATTCTCTATTGGCAAATTTTTAAAACATAAACAAAAAAACTGAAAATTTTTAATGTAGTTTATTTTTATAATTTGGAATTCTGTTTTCTACCTTGAAATTTTTGTTTTGAAGTTTAAATTTCCTAAAATTTCCCAGATACAATGCGTTATTAAATTTTAAATTTCCGACCAGGTAATTCAACCAAACAAAATTAGGAGAACCTAATTCCCTTAAATAATTACATTCAGTAAACTTTAAATTCTGATTTATAAGAATTTGAATTGCCAATATAAAGCTTGGAATTTGATGTTCACATCCGAAATTTTAACAAAAAAAATGTAAAACTTTTTATTTAAAAGCTGGCATAAAATTTGTCTATATAAATATTATTTTTTCCAATTTCTCTTAGTTGCAACTTTTAATTCCAATTTTAAAACTATGAATTCTGTATTAAACTTTGCATTGCTAAATATTAACATGTTTTGGTGTTAAAACAAATTTATTAAAATTTTCGAAACACCACATTTTTTTAGTACTTTATCCATTCATCAATTAGTTTTTTCAAAAAATAAATAGTTTGGTTCCATACTTTTTATTCACCTATACAGGGTGCGCCAGAACTCGTACCTCAGAGAAAATTTTCAAGTAAGGTAAGATACCAGGAACATGAAAAAAAAGTTTAAAAAATTCTATCTGTCAAAAAATTTTGACATTTATTTTTGACATTTGACATTTTTTTATATATATTTAATGATAATAATGATCTTGTATATGTTTTTTTACAATTATTTTGTAAAGGGACAAAAATTTTGCCAATAAAAGACACAAATAACATTGAAGAGAGTTACAATTTAGGATACAGCTTCCTTGTTTCTTCTTTTAATAACCTATAGCAAATAAACTTGGAAAATTATTTTTCCAACAGAAATAAATAGAGTCAAAGTGAAAACTTTAAACCCTCATAACTTCAAAATTTTTATAGATAAAATTTTTGTAACATTTTTCCCATGTTCCTGGTATCTTACCTAATGTGGCATTTTTCTCTGGGGCGCGAGTTCTGGCGCACCTGTATTAATTTTAACAGAAAAATGTAACATTTTCCTAAATTTTAATTGGAATGAAAAACAAAAAAAAACAGTGGGTTTTGTGGAAAATCATCGTGAAATATAATTTTGTGTGTGGTGCAAAAATGTGTAATTTATTATTTTCTTAATGAATTTACAAAGTGATTTGACAAAATCTTTGTAATATTTGAGAAAAACCATCATTGAGCAGTTTTGAAAAAAATGCGAATTTATTTTTTTTGGTGGCTATTTCAAGTTTGATTAAGCTTCCGGTCAAAACCGCAGCCAGCGGTCGTCCGAATTATTTATTTAAACCAATTTAATTGAAAGCAGAGTCAATAAATCAGCAATTTTTAACTTTAATTACCTGTTCTAAAATCCCAGGCAAAACGAGTTTTTGGTACTTCTCCAATGTAACAGACTCAAGTTGGCTCAACCTGACTAAATTTGTCCCCACTAGAATCTTCAATTCTTCTCTCTCCCTTTCCCGATGTTGTCGTTCTCTCGAATGGCCTTGATGCTGCATTCTGACCCATAATTTGTTCATTTCAGCGAAATTCATTAAAACGAAATCAATGGAATCCTTTACAGTTCCCTCAGGATTATCTGAATCAGTGTCAGGGCTGTCAGGCAGGACGTTCCTGGTGCACTGCAACAAGTAATTACGCAAGAAAAGGCCGCGTAATGGATGTTGCACTCCTACAAATAACAATAATTATTTGGAAATAAATTTTAAAAAACGCACCTCTACACATTTCTACTAAATCTTTGAGTAAGTCGCGTCTCAATGCGCTGTTTGTTTTAATATAAACTAAGCCAACTGTGATTAGAAGGTAGAGTCTGGGGACAATGTTCCCGGCGTATTGGACAAGTTCATACAAATCTGTTACTTTGCGCCCCTTCTGAAACTCGTCCAAAAGATAGAGTTCCAAGTGACGCAACTCATCTGTGATGGCCATGTCTACAATTCAAAACAATAGAAATCACTTTATACAAATTTGGAACGTTTTACAAAGCTCGTAATAGCTCTTGGGTGATAATAAAGACGTCCTCAGTTCGGCAAGCATAGCACTAGCGTTCTTCAATGCATCCATGAGTTTGTTTTTATCGAGAGCTCTTTTCATATGAAATGCTTGAGCTTTGACCACCCCCAAGGCATCTTGAAGGTACTTTTCCTGTTCCTCTACGGGAGATATTTGGGGTGGAGTGGTTGGCTAAAAATTAATAAAATTACACAACTGTCAAAAAGTAAGGTTATATTTATGAAATAAATCAATTACCGCTGAAACATAAAAATGTTTCAATTGATTAAAATGCCAAATAGGAAGGGTTTTACGGCCTCTCATTGTTACAAACGATCAAGGATTTGACAACGCATTTATACAAAAAAGGCAAAAACTTACCATTTTTGATAAGTCGAACGCCAAACCTCCTCTTTCTTGTTTAGGGATTTTGTCCCAAAAATTTTAGAGAAATTCCCCTAACAAATTATCTAAACAAAAATTGTAAAAATATAACAAATGGGTAAAAGATAAGCGCTGTTATCAAATATTATAACTCATTTATTACAATATTTAATTAACGTGTTTTCTGCTGATAAAATTAGATATAACGTAATTTGTTGGTAGCCCTGTCAATCTGCTGACAGGTAGTCTTCAATTTTTTGGTTAGGTTACTTTTATTTTTTGGGGCGCGTCTTTCCGGGATCCCCCGTAGTAAACGTTTGTAGAAATTTGTAACTTTTTATTATTTTGTGATTCTGCAGTCTTCTTAAATATGTTCGACTCATTTCAGGATGTGTTATTAACAATTAATATTGCTCATAAGAACCGTGAAATTTATCTTCAATTGTACAACCATGATACCGTTGGTAAATTTCCAGATAATTTAATTAATTTGGTTATTAACAATTTGTTTAGGGGATTTAAAAAGTGAAATTTTTAATAAAGTGAATGTCCCTCCTTCGAGACAAGTCATAGATTGTTGGTGGATAAATCCCGAGAGTGAAAATGATATTTTAGGTGCATGTTGCGATTACCACATAAATTATTTAGTTATGTATGACTCAGAGGATTTGAGAGAAAACGACGTAGAAATGGCCGATGAAGCGGTAGATCATCTCAAAGGTAATATAAGTTAATCGAGATTTTGATTTCATAGCTTGAATTTTTAGAATTTGAGCATTCAGCTGCTATAGATTTTATTGATTATTTTTCAACTAATTTTGATGATAAAGGAATAACGTTTCACGTGTGTTGCTTAGAGGATGCCATAAAGGAAGCTTGTTTTACGTCCATAGACAAAGTATCTAACCATTAAGTAAAACGATAATTTTTGCTTATCATGGTTTTTAGCGAAATGTTTTGCTACTATACTTCCATAACAAAAATGAAACATTTTCAAAAATATTTTCTGAAAATTTAGTCACAYCAGAGGTGAAAGAATTAATAAGTACACGATTTTTCTTACTGGGTTGGAATTTAGAAGAACAAAGTTACCATTCAGCATTAATTGAAGCTTTAAATAATCGCAGTGAATTGTCAGCTCTTGTAAATTTCATAAAATCGAAAACTTGCGCTGCCTTATTAATAGTGCCTATCAAGAATTCTTTCACTTTATTTTCATGTATGAAAAACAAAGTGTCAAAGAAAGATTTTTTGGAAACTTTAAAAAGGGCGAAAGAGTTCCTAGTCACAGAAAATGACATAGAGAAGGATCTTGAAAAAATTGRAGACTCTGTAAACGATTTTGGGTAAATTCGCAATACTTTATTCTAACCAGAAATAAAATTTAATTTATAGTTCAGYAAATTATCAACAACTCATGTTAGATGGACTTGGAGACCGWGATTACGACAATTATGACCATTTTGAACTTGATTTATTAAAACARAAAATTGGGTATGCTTTATATGGACCTCCAGCTGAAGAAAAGGGCTATGATAAGAAACAAATGAAAAAAATTAACTCTCTATGCGAGGTTATTGTGAAGGAAAACAGTAAGTTTAAAAATTGGGTAAAGCAAAAATTGCGATTTTTAATTTTTTTTAGATTGTTTTGCAAAATGGACCGACCGTGTTGTACTCTCCATCATTTACAACTGCACCGAGCCCCTTCCTAGTGTAAAACAAAAACGTAAGAAAAAGTATGAAGATTACAATCCCAACACCGACCTCACTCCCATCCCAATTTTCATCTTACGCARATGTAAAAACAGCGAAAATCCCTGTCGCGTTATAATCGACGACGGTGGACGAGTTTATAAAACCTGGAATTCCTATTTGACGAAAAACAAACTACCCGAATGTGAAATGATTCTTCCACTCAACGGTCGTTATCAAGCCGACGAAAATGGCAGAGTTATCCTCGAGCGCCACCTTTCGCCGGTTTGCGGAGTTGGCTACAAGATTCTCCTAGGGACTGACATAGCAAACACAGCCGCTGGGATTATATCAGGGGGGATTTTCATCGCTGCTGCCATTCCTGCAATCACTGTAGCCCCCGTGGCTCTGGTGGCTGCAGGGGCGACAGGACTTGGCGTGGGGCTGTATTCGTTGGGGCGCAGCGCTTATACACTTTACGACAGAAAGACACATAAGGAGGTAAAAAGTTGGCCGTGACCATTTGACAGATTCCAGAAATATAATCTGTCAAATGGTCAAGGCAGGGGCTATTTCCACTATTTTTTTTTTTCAGACTATGAGTTTTGCCAATTCTGAGGCAAGAGGGGCGTATTTGAATATCGTGGCGGGATCTTTGGGCTTCGTGGGGGCGGGAGCAAACATCGCCATTACTCAACTAGCCGCCAAGGGGTTCAACATTGGCCAGGTGGGTAAAAAAATAACAGTAACTTGTTGTAATTTTGAAATCAGGGCGCCACAGTAACGGTCAACATGATAAACGTGGCGAATATTGGCGCTAGTGGCGTTAGCGTTGCCAATTCAGKTTATGATGTTTTCGACCAATGGTGGAGCGAGAACCAGGCGCCATCTATGTTGACGATAATTCAACTCAGTTCCTCGATTCTGTTCTTTGGCCACGCTGTGTATAGTTTCAAGTCGGTGGGGGCGATGGTTGAAGAGTCTCAAGCGCGAACTTTGAAAGACTATCAAGACTCTCTACGCAGCAATAGACACAGGAAAACTTTCAATAAAATGATGAAGGAGACTATCAGACAGAACAAYGGCAATGTTCAGAAAGGCCAAGCCGAAGTGATCAAAACTGTGATCAATATCCAGAACAAAGATGAAGTTTTCGCGACTTTGACCAGACTTAATAAACAAATGAATAAAAACAATGTGAAATTTTCGGCCAATAATGGCGAAATTACGCTAAATGGCGTCACTTTAGACATGGCTAAGTTCAACACTATGGATTCTAATGAGGTGGCAACATTTTTAACAACTCTTCCAAACACACCCGAACCATCACAAGTTGAAGTCCAAGCGATGACTTCTAAATTACAGCTCTCATTCCCTGAAGTTAACACACAAGAAATCGCCAATTTGGCCTTCCATATTTTGCAAATATTCWGCAAAACCGACGAAAATATTAAAGAGAAAATAATCAACGCAGTTGCTGCAGTAATTTCGAGATTACTAAAGGTATCCMCAGGATGTTTTAACGAATTAGCTCGTATGTTTCCCGGTCTTGAAAAGTACCTAAGATTAGTGTCGATGGTTAATAGTCATTTCCAACAATTGATCAATGCAATGGAAGAGAAGTATAAGAAGTGGTTAGTTACCAAAGATCCAAATTTTRAAGAACCGATTTTTGCCAAGTTGGCATTCGATTATTCGAGACGAGTAATTCAGTTGTTTGATTTCGTCACGGAAGCATACTTTGTTGGGAAAAATGCTACTGAATCCGGATTAAGAGAGTTAATTAAGTATTTTTATACCTGGTTTGCGAAACAAGCAATCGAGTATGACGAACATATGAATAGKAAGCAAGAAAGAAGAATTCATAGTGGAACGCCCAAATCCGAAACGACATGTCCAGATTGTGGCGGAGTTTACTATCATTAAAACTGTATTTGAAGGCTTATCAAAGCACAAAACCAAACATATCCAAAGCTTTAGAATCTATAGTAGTTATACAATATAGTATTTAATGAATATTTTTAGAAATCATTTTTGCAACGAGATTTTCTCTTCCCGATAGGTGCTATTGTCTAAATGAAATTTAATGCTATTCTTACAAAACACTAAACGACTGTATTTGATATTTTAACAYCATTTTAAAAATGTTATTTACATAGATGTGCACTAAATAAATGTTAAAGTTTCACTATTTGTTACAATTTATTTATAACTTATGTAAAAAATATGGAACGAATGGGCACCTACAAAACAAAAGACACAAGCTTAGCCCAAAATATATCATAATGCTGTAATAATCCTCAGATTATTACATTTTTCAATATCAAATAAAGATAAAATGACTAACTTATTAAAGCCGTCTTAAAGAGATACATTTTCTATCAGAATGATAATTATTATCAAAAAAAAATCATTAGTTGCAATTTTTTAACTAAACAAAAAAGTACGGGCCTACTCAAAAATATCGCTCAATTCTGTAACAATCCTCATGAGATTAAGAAATTTTTCAATAGCTTCGTGTCTCAAAGGCTTTTCGTTGAACCATTTTCCATTCTTTGGCTTTCAAGGTAGAAAAATCGTTCAGACGATTTTACACGAGAAGGATTATAAAACTTTATCACAATGAGCTGACAAATATATTATCTTACCATCGTCTTAAATAGAGTTGACACAAACGTACCAGACACCTCATTGGATTTATAGCTATTTAGTGCTATTTCATTCAATCTTCTTTAATTTCTGTGTAAAAGAAGAATCTGTGTAACAACTGGATCCTACTGACATATTTAGAACCAAAATACTCCACTACTACATACAGATAAAACATGAAAGTGATTGAAATGGCACGACGTATACTAATTTAATTGTAAAAAGGTAAGTTCCATGTATACCAGTTTTTGGTTAATTTAAATGAATACAATTTTGCTAAAACACCTGTCTTTTAATTTGACCGCCAAATCATGAACTGTACAAAAAGACGGTAATTATTTATGTTTACTTATTTTTACATACTGAATAACAAATTGTATACAGGCTGTTCCGTCTAAACCCCACCTTAGAAGTATTAGGAGTTGTATTTATTTGAAAATTGGTACATAGCCATAATCCATTAAGTCCTCCTAAATGAAAATATTTTCAAGATGGTGGCACTTCCGGTCATACCGGAAGTCGGTCTCAACTTTCTTATTTTAAATGGAAAGCTATATTTTTATTGCGTTTTTGGATTAATCGGGTTATCTTAAGGAAGTTTTCATTAGCTTTCCCTATACCTAAATTTAGCCGTTTTTGAAATATTTCGAAAAATTTTGGATCTGCATCTAAAAATTGGTAACTCTGTCATTCTTTAAAATTTTGGATTCGTTTTTTTGGCGTTTGAAATAGAAGGCTTAGATCTTTCTTCTAGGAGTTTTCAAATTTTGAAAAAAAAACATATCCCAAAATTTTAAGGTTGTAATAATTTAAATATCCATAACTCAATTTTTCCAAATGAAGTACCCCAATTTTTATTTTACTAAATGGAAGAGAATTTAATTCGGCATCGATCTGTATTAACATTCCCTATACCTAAATTTAATAATTTTTAAGTTATGGTGGCTTTTTGTTAAGACTGCAGGAAATCTATTACTTGCCACACTAGTTCTCGCATAGTTTGCTATGGAAATCAAAAATGTCAAAATTGTTTCTCAATAAATGTCGACAGTGACTTATTATTTGACAAATAGTGCCAAAATATGTAGAATCAAATCTACGCAAACTTAGATTTAATGAATTTATTTTATATTTATGGAGAGTGTAATAAAATTATGAGCAGACCATGATGTTGTTCATTAAACAAATAAAAATAATAAATCATACTGGTTACTTGATAATTAATATAACTAATATTATGCGATCACTTGAATTGATAATTATAGTAAGTAGGCTTTATTAGGTTAATCAAGTTAAAGCTGATAAAAACTCCCTTAAAATAACTCGATTAATCCAAAAACGCAGTAAAAAATATAGCTTTCCATTTAAAAAAAGAAAGTTGAAACTTTTGGTATAACCGGAAGTGTCGCCATCTTGAAAACATTTTCATTTAGGAGAACTTAATGGATTATGGCTATGTGCCAATTTTCAAATAAATACGATTATTCGAACTCTCAATACTTCTATTGTGGGGTTTAGACGGTACACCCTGTATTTATAAAAAAAAATAACATAGGTAGAAACGTAGAATGATTTATTGACCAGGACTGATGATGTTTTAAATTGCTATTTAAGACGCTACCTTTACCGAATTTACTCAAAGAAATAGCTTTTGTATTAATCGCAAGTTGCTTTACTGGCTACGAATTTAATTTATTTGTAAAAAGATAATTTTAATGTTGAATTGTTTGATTAATTTCACTAAATATATTTTTGCGGTAATATGTACAGTTGCGGAATTAAAATTTCGCTCAGTATTTTTCTGTCGCTTTAAAAAGTTCACTGTAAACTGCCCTTTATTGTCATCATGACTGACATTTGACAATTAAACTTTTATTTCTTGTTAAAATTGTTAATTAAACAATTTGTTTGTCTTATTTATTAATCGAACAAAGTGTAATTAAATCACCGTCTTGATCTGCTGCCTACCCGTTATTATGCCACAAATCACTATTTTTGAACGTAAATAAGTCAAAATGACAAATATGACTAGAGTAAAAAATGAGGTTATTAATGTAAAGGTTGTATTAGAGTTTACATTATGAAAATGACAATACTGCCCGCAATTTTAATTCCGCAACTGTACCTGTGTTTTGGTATGACTGCCAAAAAAACAAACAGTGATTAAAAAAAACTGTTTCCTTTGATTTGTAACTTTACAGGATTTTGCGAAATAAACCAAGTCTGTAAGCACAATTAATAACAGGTATTTTTTGCACGACTGATTATTAGAAAATAACCTTTTTGACATGTAATAATAATTGTCCCCTCTTTGATAAAAAGTGGATATATAAAAGGAAACATATTTAAACAGATGAAACTAGTTGTTTTTGCTATAAAAATGAAATTCTTTATTGCACTATTAATGTTATTAAGTGTTGTGTGGTGTGAACAATACACCACGAAATATGATAATATTAATGTCGACGAAGTACTTGCTAGTGAAAGATTGTTGAAAAATTATTTTAATTGTATTATGGACAGGGGGGCATGTACTCCAGATGCTGATGAATTGAAGAGTAAGTTGCAGTTTTTTGATGAGAAAAAAGTAACTCATAACTTGAGGTTGCTTACAATGTTAATTTTCTTTTCTTCCTATTCTAATTTATTCGTAGTTTTCTTTTCTACATTTTATTTGTTTTAATTTATAATACAAACATATCTTTTTTTTTAATGAAACAACATATGTTTCTTGGGTATTTCTCGATGTAGCTTTTTATTACGTTTTTTTGGTTAATTTTGCTTTGTTTTTGAAATGTTGGTTTATTAGACAAAAACTAAGACAGTTAGAATTTTTTTTTACAACTACCAAGAAAAAAAAACAATCTTTAAGACCAACAGTTTTTTAGTTTGTTGTTTGTTAAGTATGTTAAAAGTTAAATAAGTTAAAAAATTTCAATGCAAAACCCTATTTTTTTTTCTGCAACTAGGACACTATAAATAGTCTTTCCAAAAACATTAACTTTTAAGTAAATTAATAACTATAAAGATATTGAACTATAAACATCATAAAAATTAATCAATAGCCAACAAGTGCACATTTGCACAAGAGATAGAAAAATATTATTCATTAGTCACATTTATGATACACTGACTACATTATTTTTTATTTTTACAATAAAACAATTTGAATTTTAATATTTTTTCGGCATTTACAATTTCTGGATGACGAACATAAAATGGGTATAAATTTTATGTTCGTGCTCTGCACAAATCTCAAATAAGTGTGCGTGGTGAAATTACTATTATAATTGCCTTAGTATCAACAAAATTTTAATGATAGGCATTGTTGCTACAATTAATATTTAAAGTTAAATATGTACTAATTTATCAATTCAATTCTGGACATTTTATGTTCATTTTTTTATATAGACAATTTATCAATTTATTACTTTATTAGATGCAAAAATAAAAAAAGGTGTTCTATTTAAATTTTTAAAATTATTATAATTTTTAACAAACTTCCGATTTTTTTTAACTTATCGTCTGCAATCCATTAAAAAAGTGTTATAGGCTTAAAGTTCGTACTTTTCTCTTTAAGTCGTATTTTTTTTATTGTTGTCGTTTTGTGTAATAAATTTTTATAAAGAGTATGTTTTCGTCAAGAAAAACAACTTAATTCAAAAACTAAGTAAAATCGACCAATAGAAGTTTAGCTTAAAAACATTGTAATTAAAAGCTATAACCAAAAATGCTAAGAAACAATGTTTTATTTAAAAAAAACACAAGTTTGTATTGTAACTATTTTGGGGACACGCTGTATAGTTAAAAAAATTATATATTTTTTTATTTTTCTAATTTGCGTTTATAATACGAAGTGCAATCTAAATTCTGTTGGCTCACATTTTATTTATTATTATTATGTTGTAACACTAATAACTAATAATTTGTAATTTTTTTTTAATGACAGACGGCAGAACTAATTCAAAAAATCAGGTGGGCGCCGGGTGTTACCAATCGATACCAACTAACACAAAATTCTCTAGACGACAAAAATATATTTTTTTTAATTAAAATAAGAAAAAAGGGGGCCCAAATTAGAAAAAAATAGCATAAAATACTCGTTTTATAATGGCATTGGCGCACTCATCCCATAGAAAACTCGCCTTTAATATACTATTTAACAATTAAAGGTCAATAATGGACTTTACCGACTCTCTAGGTATATAAACGTATAGTCAAAGTTATATTGCGTATGTAAGGAGGTACTTTTTTGTCGTATTTTTCATATAATAATGACTAGAACTTATTTTTTTAGATGTTCCTCATTTTTTTTTCTGAAATTCTGATACATTAGTTATTTTTATACCTTACAATTGCTTCTCTAATAAAAAATTGCATAATATTCATGCACGAATAAAAAAATACATATCTATACTTTATCTACTTTGAGATGAATCAGTTCTTTATTGTTTAACAGTTTTATTTTATTTACATTTTCCATTGTTTTTCTATAAATTATATCTTTGTTTGACCTTTACTGAGTTTAATACTAATTTATTATTTGTACTTATTTATTGTTGGTAAATGTCTGAGTAAAATCTTAATAATAGCACTAATTAATAAAATAAAAAAATGTTGTAAAAGATCCTTGATTTCGACAGAGTAATTTTTTCAAGTCTTAGTAAAACAAAATTAATTATCATCAGAAATTCCATAATTTTAAGTGTTTGAATAAGAATTAGCAATTTATTTTTACCAAAATAATTAATTTCGACTTGGTTTCGAAGATTTTTTTAACATACTTAATAATCCAACAGCTCATGAATATTTAACCAATATTTTAGGATTATTCAAAATTAGACAACTTTTTTGTATAAACGCGAAGCAGACTTGTTTTGGGCCTACATTTGCATAAATTATTTCAAGGTAATCAATTAAGACTCCAATTTTTCAACGATTTTTTATTTAATAAAAAGTACTTATTAACAAGTAACAACACATCTACAAAGCCTTCAACTCATCTTCATGTGCTTTGACGTAGGTATGTTCAGGATCGTATTTGGCTTCCAATTGTTTCCACCAGTCCTGTTTGTTCTTGTACAAATGTTGGATGACCGTTCTGGCTCCTTGTTTTTGCTTATCAGTACATTTAGAGCAGCTAGTTTTCAAAGCATCAGGAAGAACACCTTTGAAACGATTTAATGTAACTTTATTTCAACGAAAAAATCAAAACTTACGTTTTAATTCTTCACCATCGGGAGTGCAGGGTTTCTTATCCAAAAGACAGTTTACGTAATTTTCGGTGAGACGATCACTTTGGAGGATTTCTTTCAAGTTGACATTGTCGTATTTGATGGTGTACTGTTCTTCTGGGCGAGCTAAAGCCACACTGACACAAGCGATGAAGAAAATCACAAAGAAACGCATTTTGAAGTTTTTGATTTAGTGATACTTGACTAAGTTATGATTTTGCAACCAGTTTTGGCGTATTTATATGGTTGGAGAGCTTTGGTTCTTGTTTTTTTTTTGGGCAGGTGGGGCGCCTTCTGTGAAACTCTACGTCAGCGGAAAATTTTATAAATATTTGGATTTTACAAGTAAATAAAGTCGTTTTCGCGTGCAAATTAGTTCTTTAAAATTTTAATTTAATTATTTTGTCCTTTAGATGCAATCTTGATGCAGCATCAAATTTAATTGATTAATTTAATAAATTAATGAATTTTTGTCGTTTGTTTAGAAGTCCTCCCTGACGCCCTTAAGACCGACTGCTCCAAATGCAGCGAAAAACAGAAGGAAATGACGAAAAAAGTGATCCATTTTTTGACCCACAACAAGCAACAAATGTGGAAGGAGCTAACAGCCAAGTATGACCCTGATAGCATCTATTTCGAGAAATACAAGGATAAGTTTGATTCATAATCTTGTTTATGTACTTATGTTAGTGTTGAGGTGAATAAATACATTTAAGGTGATTTATTGTTTTTTTGCTCCGACAAGAATTATGCAAAATTTTCTTCTGTCAAGGGCGTAGCCTTACCACGTGATCAGTGGTAGTAACCGGAGAGCTCAATCTTGTTTTGCTAGAATAAATTTAAAAAAAGATAAGCCTACGTCAGTGGAGATTCTTTGAAGTGGACATTTTTTTCTTCAAGAGATTAGCATCAAGTGTAAACAAAATATAAATGGAGGATGGAGGTGATTAAAATACAGAAAAAAAAATCTCAGAAATGTAAAAATAATTGTCAATGCAGTTTTATTTTTTAATTTTTTGAAATCGCTCATTATATCATGCAAAGAAGCAGTTGTCCTCCAGACAAAAATTGTGTCAGAGGTTTGTTTTGTCTTGTCATAATTTCATTTGTCATACTGCACGTGATGATAATTGATAACATCAGAGTTACCTTCATGTTCTTCCAGTTTTTTTTTTTTAATATGTTAATAAAATATTTTTCTGAATCAATTTTTTTATTAGGTATAATTTTAATTGATGATACCTAATTGAGAAAAATAACTAAGTAGCACACAATTTTGCAATGATTCCATTAATTTTTTGATCACATTTGTTTTGACATTTTTAAATCAAGTAAATACAAAAGAATTTAAAGAAACCACAGAAATATTATTGTCACAGATCGTTAAATATTGTAATTAGTAGTGTTTTGTTTAGAAAAAAAAAAGTAAAAAAAGACATTTTTTATTAAACAATGTATAAAATTATAACAAAAGAAACAATAAATAATTAATAAAAATTAAAATCGATCGGGGCCGAATGGGAGGAAACGATCCCCAGGGAAAGTGCCAAATGATTTTTTGTAGCGAAAAATTAATACAGGTGCGTCCCAGCGAAAATTTTCAAGTAAGCTAAGATACCAGGAACATGAAAAAAATGTTTAAAAAATTCTATATGTAAAAAAAATTTTACATTTATTTTTTCACATTTGACATTTATTTTTATATGATACTGATGATCTTGTATATGTTTTTTTACAATTATTTAGTAAAGGTACAAAACTTTTGCCAATAAAAGCCACAAATAACATTAAACAGAATTAAAATTTAGGAAACAGCTTCCTTGTTTCCTCTTTTAATAGCCTTTAGCAAAAAAACAAAAATAAATAGAGTCAAAGTGCAAAATTCAAGCCCTCATAACTTCGAAATTTTTATAGATAAGTTGAACATGGGTTCATGGCATCTTACCTTATATGGCATTTTACTCTGTGGCGCGAGTTCTGGCGCACCCTGTATATCGGCTCTTGTTTTTAAAACATAAATGTTTAAATTAAAAAAAACAAGTTTTTGTTTTTAACAAATTTAATTAAATCGCTTTGCAAGCAAAATACCTACACAATAATTTTGTTTTAATAAAACTCTTCTTTTTAAAACTTTGTAATAAATTATTTAACTTTCTACCTAGCAAATGTATTAATGTTTTAAAACATTTCAGGATTCTACTATTTTATGTTAATTAAAATAGGTAATCTATTATTTTTTTTTTGATATTTTTTTATCTTTTTGTTGTTCGACCTTACCGACTTCCTATTTATTAGACAATACATCATGTTAAAAATATTAATAGTAGTAAGGTTGTGTTGCTTATGAGGATTTTTTGCTCATTTTTAATAAAATGCATACATTTTGCTGTAACTCAATATAAAATTATTATTACATTTTTTTTTTATTTGGCAATTTTGAATTTCTTTTTAGTGGTAGATACAACTGCAACACTGTTTTATAAGTACTTTTTTATGACAAAACAATCTGGTAATGTCAAAGAAATAAAAAATCTTAAAATGTCAAATATCTGAAAAAAATACAGGGCTGTTCCGTTTTTATAGTTACAAATTTTGATCAGGTGATAAAATATTCAATTTTAAGATAAAAGTTCTCTATAAACAAAAAATCAAAAAATTTTATATAAGGGGGCTACATCCCCTGAAAGGGGTTCAGGTTTTAATGGATTTTTTCCAATATTTCAGAAACCATTGTGGATATAAGTACAAAATTTGGTACAACTGATAACTTTTATACATCCAAACAAATTTATAGACAAAACGTCGAAATTTTTACTCAGGGGCGTCCTCAACTGGGGGAGTTTAGGGTAAAAAAGTACCTTAACTACTTTGGCTGTTGGTTCTTGCCACTTTCAGCCACAAAATTCTAAATTTTATGGTTTTTCACAAAAAAGAAGTCTCTTGCGTTTTTTCGATACAACTTATCGTTTTTGAGTAAAATTAGTTTACAATTTGACTTACAGACCATAAAAAAATAAAAATTAAATTTGCTTTACCGTTTAAAATTTCGACAACTGATCTTTGAATCCGTTCAGGTGTTTAAAGGTTATCAGTCGTACCAACTTTTGTAATTTTATCTACTCTGCAATAGTGGGAAAACCCCATTAAAAAACGCTTTTCTTTTAGGGGTTGTAGCTCGCTCACATAACATTTTTTGAAACATGTTCATAGGAAATTTTTGTCTAAAATTGAATATTCTATCACCTGTTTAACAATAAAAACGGAACAACCTGTATAAAACCCACATTTATCCACAAGGAAAATATACGAGTATGAAAAAATAAAGAATAATGATTAATGAAACATCTGTGGTAAAAAATTCTGTAAAAAAACAAGAACACAAAAAATTTATATAATTTTTGTGTGACACAGAGTGTAATAATTTTAAGTTGGTAATTTCCACTACATAACAGTAATTACATATTTGTTGACTTAAAAGAAAACGAAATAAAATATAATAAAAAATTGTTTTCTTATTGAAATTATCACGTAAGTGAAGGACGACAATAAATAAACCACAGAAATATTATTGTCACAGATCGTTAAATTTTGTAATTGTTTAGTAGTGTTTTGTTTAGAAAAAAAAGTAAAAAAAAACATTTTTTATTGAACAATGTATAAAATTATAACAAAAAAAAACAATAAATACTTAACTTCCAAACTTAGTTAAATCTTTAATAATGTTCTTGGGGTGCCTCCTCCTCCTCCTCCTCCTCCTGGTACTGTTGTTGGTGGTGGTGCTGTGGTGCCGTTTTATGCACCACAGCATTGAACCCATTGTGCTTATCCGCCGTGTACTCCACCGTCCTTACAGAACCATCGGGTTCCACCACGGAGTATTGGCCTTTGACCACATCACCGTCGCGACTCTCCTGCTGACTCTTGATGTCCCCGGTATGATAATCACTGACGCCGTACTTGAACGTGTACTTGGGAGGAGCCTTGATGAAAGTCGAGTGAAAACAACATCTGTGCGATATGAAATTAAGAAAGTAAAAGTCAACTCACGTAGTAATCAACGATGTGGTCCTCCTCGTGCTCGTGCTGTTGAGGAGTTTCGTATTGAAGAGCATTGGCGTCTTCCTCCTGGTACACCACCTTGGCCGTTGATCCCATGGTCAGCACAAATAAGACCATTAACTGAAACGGAACTGATCTAGATTTGGACGTTTATGTGATTATTTAATTGCTGAAGAAAGTGAAGAGAATGCGAAAGTGACTTTTTTGGTCACGTAACAGCTGACGGATGTTAGTATGCCACGAGTGAAGAAAAGACAAATGAGGAGGCGTGACAAAAATAGAAGAAAACCAATTTTACGCATTCTGGGTTTTTGTTTCTAATTAAAATAATGTACCTTAGAGAAAAATGCTATAAAAAGTAAGACACCAGGATCATGGAAAAAATGTTAAAAAAAAATTATCTATAAAAATTTCGAAGTTATAATAAGAGTTTAAATTTTGCACTTTAACTATTTATTTCTGTTGTAAAAATAATTTTATAATTTTTTTTTGCTACAGGCTATAGAAGAGGAAACAAGGAATCTCTATCCTAAATTGTAACTCTGTTCAAGGTTATTTGTGACCTTTAGTGGCAAAGTTTTTGTACCTTTACTAAATAATTGTAAAAAAAACATATACAAGATCATCAGTATCATTAAATAGACAAAAAAAATGTCAAATGTCGCGAGTTCTGGCGCACCCTGTATACTCCAGAAAAAACGCCATGTTAAATAAGTTACCAGGAATATGAAACAATAGATTTTTTTAATTGTATCTATTAAAAACTTGACATTTGACCGTTTTTATGTCTTGTATTGTTACCGATGATATTGTATGTCTATGTTTTTTCATAAATAAAGGTACAAAATCTTTGCCAATAAAAGAAACAAATAACATTAAACATAGTTACAGTTTCTTTGTTTCTTTTTCTAAAGGCCTGCAGTAAAAGAAACATGTAAGTAAAATTATTTTTCCGACAGAAATAATTATGTACTTAGTGCAAAATTGAAACTCTCATAATTTCGAAATTCTTTAGATGAAGTTTTTTAAACATTTTTTTGTATGTTCCTGGTATTTTATCTTATTGGCATTTTTCTCTGGAGGCACGAGTTCTGAAACAGCCTGTATAAATAACAAAATTTATTGATATACAGAGTGCGCTAGAACTCGCGCCCCACAGAAAAATTTCAAGTAAGATAAGATAACAGCAACATGAAAAAAATGTTTAAAAGTCTATCTGTCAAAAAATTTTGACATTTATTTTTTGACATTTGACATTTTTTCATGTCTATTTAATGACACTGATGATATTATATATGTTTTTTTAACAAGTATTTAGTAAAAGTACAAAAAATTTGCCAATAAAAGCAACAAATATCATTAAACAGAGTTACAATTTAGGATACAGCTTCCTTGTTTCCTCTTTTAATAGCCTATAGCAAAAAAACTTGAAAAATCATTTTTCCAACAGAAATAGAGTCAAAGTGAAAAATTTAAACACTCATAACTTCTCAATTTTTATAAATAGAATTTTTTTAACAATTTTTCGATGTTCCTGGTATCTTACCTTACATGGCATTTTTCTCTGGGGCGCGAGTTCTGGCGCACCCTGTATAATATGATTATTGAATTTTTTGAATAAATTTGTTTTAAATAAACTATGCACTGTAGGTTTCCTTAGAGATTGTCCACTTGACAGGGTGGTTGTAATTATAATGTTATGTGCTTTGAAAAATTAGTTCTAATATGAGGTTTTTATAAAATTTAAATTTAATTTAATATTTATAATTTTGCACGTAAACGTCACCACATTTTATCTTTTTTTTTACAATTATTTGTGCTTTTTCTTGTGTTTTTTTGGGAGTAAGTTAGCACATTGCATTTTATCAAGTAAACAAGTTTGCACGATTTTTAACATTTTATAATTTTCCAGTAATTTGCGTTTAGAATGTACAGCAATGAAGAGCATTAATGCTCTTAAATATTATTAAATATTTTACTTCAGCTTGCTCTAAAAATAAAATTTTAATTTTCCAAACAATTAAAAGTACTAACCATAAAAACTAACGCAAGTGAGTTAAAAAGTAAAATATTTCAAGTGTATAATGGATCCAAGTTGAACATTTGTTCCAAAGTGTACAACAAAATGACACAATTATACTCAGTCAAGATCACCGTATTTACATTAGTCAAAAGTGGCTGAAACCTGGTTTATATACAAAAAAAAAACTAACACAAATTACATAAAATGGTTTTTTGCTTTTTTAATGTTTTTCTTTTGTGGTTCAACATGTTTTTTATCTATTGTTGAAAAATTCTTATGCTCTCAATACTCATCGCTCACGTGAAATAAAAACAAAATTGTAGTGAAAATAAAAAAAAGACATTTTAAAAACTTCAAAAAATTTGTGTTTAAGGACATTGGGATTACAAAAATATCTTCCTACCTTAAAAGCGACCATTTTTCCGGGATCCCTTGGAAATTATTGAACACTAAAACCACGAAAATACCGAATGATGGGAGAAATTGATGCTCACTTCTTTTATATGCTTTCTTCTGCTACAGTAAGGGAAGGAAGGATATGTGCTATTGGCAATACATTAGACAAAGATGAAAGTAGGTTATTAGATCTTGAAGTGTATACCAAGATTTCTATCTGTTTGGTTTCCTTCTTTTGCACATATCGACGAATCATCACTAACAATCCTCAACTATGCAAAATAGATGAAGAGTTGCCAATTTGCATGAAACGCTCGAATAAATTTGAAGAAATGCAACATTCACCAATTTGCGATAAAAATAATTTGTTGTTTTTGTACATTGATAAATTTTTAGTTAATTGGATAATTTTAATTGCGTGACTTTACACTCTGTTTTGCAAGTTCTCGCAAGTTCATTACCGAGAAGAAAACAAATAATTAGAAATGAACAAATCAACGCTGACCATCACGTCTGACTTTTCTAAATTGTCATTAAAAACGCCAAAAATTTTTGTTGAAATTTTCAAACTCTTAAAATGAAATTCTGCAGCATTTGCAACAAAAAATTCAACAAGTCTGAACTCCTCCAAAGCAGCGACGATGAATACTTCTGCAAAGAGTGTTTTAAATACGAGTATTGTGCAGGTATAACTCCCAAAAATGTCATTATCTAATTTTAAACAAATTGAGTAATAAAACTTTCTTGATTTCTTCCAAGTGAAATCGTCACAGCAGATGGCAGACAATATTGTTTGATTTGTCTCGAATTTCAGTCTCTACAAAGAAAAAACCTCCAGTATCGAATAAATATGAGGGAGATTCCTCCAGAAAGCGCATAAAAATGTTCCCAATGGAGGAATTAGCAAAGATTAGACGCAACAGAGAAATTAAACGTAAAGCAGTCCCTTCGAAACGGTACATTTAACAGATTATTTTTTTGCTATGTCAAAATTTAGACCTTTGCAGTGCCCCCACGTGGATTGTAATCGTTATGTCAGTATTTATGATCTCAACGCTCACTTCCAGCACGAGCACATGGAAGTGCCCATCACGGAAACCGCCCTCGATGCCCGAAATCCGCTCACTTTTCAGCCGACAGATATCCGATATGGAGTCAAACAATGCCTCATTCTTCTCAACGTCATACCGCAAAACGAAGAAATAGAAAATAGCGGAAGGTAATAAATAGCCCGGTCAAATTAGTCATAAAAATAGTGGTCAAATAACGAAAATTCCGACAGAGCTAAATTTTGGTGGAGACCTTGGGTACACCATTAGAAATAAAGTGTCAAAAGTCCCCATCGATCCCATGTGTGCTAAAAA